ATATATATATATATATATATATATATAGTTGTTACCACCATTTAAAGTTAGTAACAGATTAGTTAATTTTTTGTTAAATAAGTTAATTTATTTTAAGATCTCTCCAGTTACACTAAATTTGTGATTCTTTCAATAAAGAATAATAATTTATTGAATTTTAAAGCAGTGAATAAATTGCAATTTTTTTATGAGTTTAGACTATTCTGCAAAGAAATAATTCAGAGAAAGCCAACATCAGTAGTTTTATACATGACTTGACTAGTTTCTTTCATATTAAATCAAATGTATATATTTAGAGAAACTTGTTATTAGTTTTTGTAGTAATCTAGTTTATTATTTCAGTAGGTAGAAGCATGTAAGAATTACATTTTTGGTATGCTGTATTGTAGTGATCAGTGTACATGTATGCTTTTGTGTTGAATTTGGGTATGAGAAAAAAAAACTTAGTTTGTTTGGTGCTACTATAGCGTGAGGTCTACCACCATATGTCGCCTACCCAGGTGCAGCCTGAAGTCTATCGCGTTAGCGTGAGGTCTACCGCCATATGTCGTCTACCCCCTTTAATATAAATTTAATTAGAAAACCAATTATCTATTTAAGTCATTCCTAGGATATGTACAAATTAAGTGTTTATCGCTAAAATAAATGTATGGAAATGTGTGATATCCATGAGGGATGGATAATGCAGCGGTAGACCTCACGCTATAGTAGCACCGTTTGTTTTGGGTGACTTAAAAAGTATTTTTATTCTAGAAAACTACTGAATTATCAAAACCTGTTGCATGCATGTAATATACTTGAAAATATCTATTTTGTTAATAGAAGTTCTCTCAGAAAGTATTAGAAAAATCTGTCCCAGCAAATTCCTATAAAAAAAATGGGACAGAATTATTTTCATTAATTGAAAATACTTTGTTTTTTTGTATGTTTTATATTTTGTCTTTAAATCAAGAAGATAAGCACTAAGTGAACAAAGATTATTCCCATTTTTTCCTAAAATGTATGGTATTAGAAATAAAAAAGGAATATGTCTAAGTAAACAGAATCTTTTTAAAAACAAGATTGTGATTACGTTTCTTACACTGACTTTTAGTTTAACAGCATTACAATATAAGCCCCCCAGTGGCACAGCGGTATGTCTGCGGACTTACAACGCTAGAAACCGGGTTTCGATACCCGTGGTGGGCAGAGCACAGATAGCCCTTGTGTAGCTTTGTGCATAATTAAAAACAAACAAACAAATTACAATATAAACAATTTCATGTAACATGGTTACAACTTTTATAGAATAAGAAAGTCAAATTAGGCCAAATGTTTTCAAATGTAATTGGACACAACTTGTATTATTGTTTGACACCAATGTTCCCACTAAGCTATGTGCAACAGAATCTGGCATTAAGAACTACAGGTTCCTTCACAAATAAGGTTTGAGTAGCAAACAATACCAAGTTCAAGTGTGAGGCAGGAATACAGTTGCTCAAAAGAAAAATGCAGGACAGAAAAGTAGTGGTCAGAGGAGTTTGTAATCTGTCCAGCACGAAGTAAATTAGAGGGAACATTGTTTGGCACCTTGTGCCAAGTTTAAATACTTCTTAAATAACTGTTACTGTTAGAAAGCAGTAAGTGCTAATTTCTTTGAATCATTGAGAGCACGACACGCAAGTTTTCTGTAGAATAAAACTTTTATATTGGATAAAAAGAAAGATTGACATGTTTGTGTTACATCAAATATTCGTATTAATGTTTTGCTTGCCATTGTTTCTATGTGATAACGTATATATTTTGGTTACCAAGCACTTTTGTTTTACATTTTGTGATTAGTTGTTCATTACATTTTAATTATATAAGAGTAATATTTCATACCCTAAATTTCTATCAGAATTGGTTAATTTTTTGTAAACATTGTGATATCCAACATGTTAACTGACATCATTCTTATAACTTAAGCATAACACAATTTAGTAAATTTGATGCATTAGTTATAAAAAGGCATTTAGTGTATTTTGTACCGATGTGAATAACAGTTCAAAAAAGTTATTATGGGTGGGAAAGAACTCAGCAGGAACTTGCATGCAGAAAACTATCAGGACAAGAGGGAATGAAATTGCTTTAGTCATTCTGTAGTGTATATTGTCACTAAAAATAATTATGTTCTTAATTGTGATTCGTATGGCTAAGTTAATGGAAATAAGTGACAAATTCTGCTCAGTCCCTGATTTGCATTATAGTAATGCAAAAGTCTCTTGTGATTGGTTGATTTGTATGTGTATATTTAAGTTTGACTAGTCACCTGAGATTGAACAGTGAAGGACAAGGGTGGGGATTGTTTAGTGGTTGTTATATATTACGTATAGTATTTTGTTTGGACACTATGTGCTCAGCCATTTTAAGAGTTATTTGCACTGGTGTTCCCATATGGATGCACATTGATATCTTGAATCTTATTGGTTGTATGGGAATATCAATTAACATAAGTGATATTTGGACAAAAATACCAAAAAATGTGAAAATAAGCATGGCTGCTGAAAATATGCTATGAGCAGTTGGAAGAAGGTTAATAACTGCTTGTGCATCAAAATAGTTTAAATTGTAATAACTCAAAATGATTATGTACAATTTTGAAAGAATAATAATAATTTGTTTGGTTTATTCTCTTTTTATATGCAGGTCATAGCAGAAACTTGTTATATGGAACTCATGTAAGCATCATGTGACCTGGTTGTCAGTGATCATAATGAGTACCTTTCACAAATGTTCTATTTTTATGCTTTGCTTGGGGTTGGCCTTAGGTAAGTCTTTCATACCTATACTTCTGTTCTTTTATTTGTACAGAAAAAAGAAGAAAATTGTAATTGGAATTTTATAGAATTGTATTGATAAAATTAACTTATTTTACCACCACAGGCTCAACAGTTTGGTAATATCTTTTATATATATATATATATGCCCCCTGAAGATTTCTTTTATACACAACTAGTGTTAGGCTAAAATAATAATTACAAAATGGCAGAAGCCATTGGCACAATTTGTTTTAAGATAATTTGAACATCTGCGATTTTGGAAATCGCCGATGTTGAGATGACCATTGTGTCACCATATTGTTTCTTTTTTGAATATGCAGTAATTCCCATTTATTTATGTAAATGAAATAATGAAAACAGGTTTTACTGTCATTGATGTTGGTGTTTTTATTTAAAATGCTATAATTGCAATAAGAAATCATGACCATGGTGCCACCATTTTGTTTCTTTTTTGAATATGCAGTAATTCCCATTTATTTATGTAAATGAAAACAGGTTTTTACTGTCAGTGATGGTGTTTTTATTTAAAATGCTATAGTTGCATGAAGAAATCATTAAGTAGGCAGTTATATCAATTCTTTTATGTATTTTATTGGAATACCATAGACGTAATAATGTTCAATAAATGAGGATTTTAATCATTAGAATATTTTACCACTGCCTACCGTACTCGCACTTAAGTTTACCTAATGTCTTTACATCTAAGAAAATTTTTGTAACTTTCAAACAGATATAATTAAACACAAATACTTTTAGAAAAACATTTCTACAAAACCATAAACAACTGCTGAGATTACTATATTTACTGTACTATGATGTGAAAAGTCTAATTCTTGCTCTGTCCAATCATATTTGATATTTCTTTATAGTTTTTTTAGCTATGTTTCATTAGTAAATGATCGAATCAGTGAATATGACATCAGAAAAGGGTAACAACCAAAGTGTTTAAAACCAAGAAGTAGATGATGTATTCTCAAGGGGTTATAGATTCTTATAAAAATAAAATTGTTCTTGGGGAGGACTGCAAAAATTAACAAGTGCATTGGCGGAAATAAGAGTTATACAGATATGAAAATTTTGATATATTTTTTCATTTTTGTTTGTGAATTACACTAAACTGACATATAAAATTGATTTAAACATTTGTGGTGAAAAAAAATCATGGATTTCTTTTTGAAAACTTTCAAATTCTTTTTAATGGCATTGATAGTGGACTGTATCTGTGTAGGAAGTCTTGGACACTGTTTCGAGGTACTATAGTAGACCTACATCAGGTCAAATTGTTCATGCTGTTTAGACTGTCAGATAAGAACATGGGCAAATTGTTCAGGCTGTTTAGACTGTCAGATAGGAACATGGCCAAATAGTTCAGGCTGTTTAGACTGACAGGTAGGAACATGGTCAAATTGTTCAGGCTGTTTGACCATCAGGTAGAAATGTGGCCAAATTGTTCAGGCTGTTTAGACTGTCAGATAAGAACATGGGCAAATTTTTCAGGCTGTTTAGACTGTCAGATAGGAACATGGCCAAATAGTTCAGGCTGTTTAGACTGTCAGATAGGAACATGGTCAAATTGTTCTGGCTGTTTGACCATCAGGTAGGAATGTGGCCAAATTGATCAGGCTGTTTAGACTATCAGGTAGGAATGTGGTCAAATTGTTCAGGCTGTTTAGACTATCAGGTAGGAACGTGGCCAAATTGTTCATGCTGTTTGACCATCAGGTAGGAACATGGCCAAATTGTTCAGGCTGTTTAGACTATCAGATAGGAACATGGTCAAATTGTTCAGGCTGTCTGACTATCAGGTAGGAATGTGGCCAAATAGTTCAGGCTGTTTAGACTATCAGGTAGGAACATGGCCAAATTGTTCAGGCTGTTTAGACTATCAGGTAGGAACATGGCCAAATTGTTCAGGCTGTTTAGACTATCAGATAGGAACATGGTCAAATTGTTCAGGCTGTTTGACTATCAGGTAGGAATGTGGCCAAATAGTTCAGGCTGTTTAGACTATCAGGTAGGAACATGGCCAAATTGTTCAAATTTGGCCACATTCCTACCTGATAGTCTAAACAGCCGTTCAAGCTGTTTAGACTGTTAAGGGGGATATTATTGAGGTGTTTAAGATTGTAAAAGGAATTGATAGTGTTGATGCATCATCTTTTTTATATTTAACAATGAGAATAGTAGGACTAGGGTACAGAAACATAAATTTTGGCAAGGTAGGAGTCATCTTCAGCTAAGACAAGTTTCATTTTTCCAACATTTGTTGGCCTTTGGAATTGCTTTCAGATGTTGTAGAGGCAGTAAATTTAAGTGAGTTTCAGAAAAAGCTTGATAAGTATATGAATGAAAAGTGCTAACTTTAAGATTTGTTATTACCAATAGGTCCCATGTTGTCCCAAAATGTTATGTTATTATGTTAAATGGACAAAGATCTTTATACTATTTCACAAACATATGACCTATGATCATAGGGTTGTGGGTACAACCAGATTTCACGTTCTATTCAACATTAAAGAATACAGTTATGGAATTTTAAGTTAGAAACATGACACACATCTCTTAAAAATATGGTTCTCATTCCCATTGTGGGCAGAGCACAGATTGCCCATTTTGTAACCTTGTGCTTAAACAAATACAGTGGCAATATTTCAATTACTTAGACTGTTAGAATAATCAAAAGTTGTAACGATAGGAAACCTTAATTTTAATTAGTTGATTATTTTCATAAGTCAAGACACTAGTTAATTAAGCTGAACAGATTTAATCAAAGATGATAATCTAAAATCATAATGTCAGTTAGTGGATAGTTGAAATAATTAAAAACACTAATTTCAGTTAGTTGATTATTTTTGTGACGTTAATTAATTTCAATAAATAGTTATTTTATGTACCATGAATCAATGCTTGTAGGTAATTGATTATATCAGTTAATCAAGTTAGTCCCTCAGCTCTTTATAACATAACATGTTTAGTCAAATTTTGACTGAGATTACTTCTGTTCCTGAATTCAGAGTTATGGCATTCTTGACCCTTTTGCTACTGCCTCGATTGATTACACCTACCACAGGACCACAAAGTGATTGTCGCAGTTTACGTACTATAACTTTTAACCTGTTTTGTGTGTCTTTACAAAATTTTACAAGCTTTATTAAACATTCCAAGTCTTTTTTGAATATAAAATCATAATTTTTAAGTATTTTTACTAAAAATTTGTTCATGAATTTTGTCATAGTGTTGACTACTCCAAGTGCTAAGTGATTTTCATGTTAAAATTAATAATATCTTTCTTCATATGAAAATTTTCAAATTACATTTGCATAAATCTCTAAAACGTGTTTAATAAATATTTAAGAAAAACTATATTTTATCTGTTATTTTTCTCTACCTTAACTCTATAGAGGGTAGGTCAATTTGACTGACCTTGTAACCACAATAAAACTTTAAAGGTTGAAAAATACAAAATAAAGTGAGTAGTACTGTTCTATCCTTTTTAGTATTGGTCATGAAGTTCCAAAGTACTTCCCCTGATAGTTTCTACGTCTGTTCTTTTCACATCTATTTCCTAAGTTTATTTTACTGTTAGTAGCTAAAGTAGAAACCTGCCAAACATAAAGCAGTGAATCACTGCTCCTGCCATTAGACTTTTTATGTGACATGGTCAGTAGCAAATAAGTTTGTGTGGCACAATTACCAGAACTTTCCTACAGAGTTTATCATAATTCCAGCTCTGAAAACAGTGGGAGAGGATTTATTGACTTGTTTACAGTGCAAAAAATGTTTCTGATATGGCTCTGTACAAAGTCTGAGATGATCCAATAAACTGTTTTTGCAAAAAATTCTGTTAGTCAGTTGCTCTTAAGCATGATATGAACTTTAGTCTTAGAAATAAGTAAGTTATAATTAGGTTCTGGAAATGAAGTAGGTGGCTATTTACACCAATCTGTTTAGTCTATAAAAGTCATGTTCCCAAACAAACAACACTGAAAAGCCACTAACCAAGTTTTATCTTTTTATATCTGTGTTAGGCAGCAGTAAATTGAACTAGTAGTTATTTTATTTTGTTAATTTTTATAACAGCATGTGTATTAATCTGCTCTTCATTTTGGATAAGTATTATTGTTAAAACATGCTACGCTGATACCATGTAATCAGACTTATATGTTTTATGCATATTGAGTTATTTTATCAAGTTTTATCTTTTTATATCTGTGTTAGGCAGCAGTAAATTGAACTAGTAGTTATTTTATTTTGTTAACTTTTATAACAGCATGTGTATTAATCTGCTCTTCATTTTGGATAAGTATTATTGTTAAAACATGCTACTCTGATACCATGTACCATGTTTTATGCATATTGAGTTATTTTATCAATCATTGTCAGTGACATTCAAATATTTGTATAATAAATGAAAGGTCATCACAGTCATAGGATTTTGTGGAACTGTTAGATGCCTAAGAATGGATTTTCTAATGCTTCACTATTCGAAGAAAGACTGTGTTTGATACTTAACAAACTTTTTATGATACAAAGCATTTTACTCTGCTAGATTAACGGTTTCTGTATAGTAATCATGATTAAATGATTTTGTTTTTTAAATATAAACTTTGAATGTTTTGAGTTATCCATAAAAATACAAAAATGGTCTAACAAAGTTAAAATAACATTCAAGTACTTTATATTATATTTTGATAAGTTGTTTGATTACTTTACAATATTGATTTACTATGTATCTTGTTTAGCTGTACGAACAACAACACGCTCCAGCCCCATGAGCTGTGAGTATTACAATGAAACTGCTTGTAAGAACAGCCGGTACAGTGTTGGTTGCAATGGAACAGAGGATTGTAAATCTTTGAGTCCTGACAAAGGAAACCAGTGTTATATACTATGGCAAAAAGGACCAGAGGGTTTTAATATTAAACTGAAAGGTACATTTCATTGATGCATAACCTTTAATATCATTGTAGTCGGTGGTGATGTCATATAAAACTGATGTGTATGTGTGTGTGGTTAAAGAAGATACCGTCGTCATCATTCATTCATAAAAGTTTGTGTGTGTTAAACAAATTACTGTATTTACTAATTCTTTCTTTCACTACGGCTGTAGTGTGGGAATATCTTAATGATAATAGTTTGACGATGGCCCATTATGCATATTTATTTCTTGTGTATGTATTAGTATTGGTGTTTGTTACTAAGTTATTATTAATTTTCTTTCAGAAGTATTTATATGGCATTGAAATATAAAAAATATTCTTAGAAAATGTATTTAATTAAAAATTATGAAACTGCTTTATTTCTTGATTCCATGTTAGATGTAAACATCGTTAGATATTGTCTTTATATGTGGCAAATATTTCATAATGAATCGTTGTATTTCCGATTTATTACAGACGAATGTTCTGTAAAGAATTCATAAAAAAATACCTTTTTTATCTTAAGTATTTATAAAGTAATACTAACAAGTTTCACAGAACTAGATTTTATGAACTGAAAGTCAACTAGAATCAGGCTTACTGATACACTATATCCTAGTCACACTGTATAGAGTACACATTTTCAGTTTTTAATAATGGTAAAATTTACTATTGGAATATTTAAGGATTAAAAGGTTTAAAATAATATTTTTATAATATAACAGGATGTTGGGTTGGCAACAGACATGACTGTACTGCAGGATCCACATGCACTGAAACCCAGAAAGATCCAAATATAAAGCTGTTGTTTTGCTGTTGTGAAGGTGATATGTGCAACAACAACATGATTAGGACTGACCCACCAGAAGTTTTAACCTCGGAGGCCAGTGAGTATTTTAGTCATAATTGTCAAGAATATTACCCGTTCCTAATTTTAAGGGCTTTGTAGAAGTCCTCTATACACGGGTTGTTTGATGAGGAAGGTCCCAGTACCAACTATTAAAAACAGTAATTTTTGTTCAAGTAAACAAAACTCACTAAATGGGTCATCAGTATCAAAATAACATAATAAAATAAGGTGTTTTATAAAATATTATTAACACAAAGAATAACATGTTGGAAAATAGACATTAAAATAACATGAAAGTAGTATAAAATATCAGAAAAATATTGTTACTTGGTTTTCAGTATAAAGATCTTTAACATGGAGATTGAATGTGGTAAAAATAATTTACCCAGTATGAATAAAATTTTACCAAGAACTACCAGATATCCACCCCACCCCACCCCAAAAAAAGCTGAAAGTTGTAAGTAATCAACAAATTAATAATAATAACATTTGTAATTTTGGGAACTGGTGTGTGCAATTTTATTTTTGTTAAATGTTGCTATTATTACTTATTCTTGAAATGTTTAGAAACTAAAAACTTGACTGTTCAAGTATTGTTGAAGTAATGTGCTTGAATTGTGTAACTGACAAAACTAGGCTAAAAATGCTTTTTTCAAAACTTGTGATACTACATTCTGTGCTTAATTTAGTTACTTCACAATCTGTTTGATGCTACTTTTTTAGAACTGTTTGTAGGTAGCATGATCACAACAATAATCCACTGTGCTATTAATCTTATTATTGATAAATGTAGTACTGTAAAGACCTCACCCACGAGGATCTGACACCTCATAACCAAGTGTAAAGTAGATCTAACACTATTAGAACTGTTACAGTGGATTATTGTTGTGATCATGCTACCTACTGCTATTAATCTTATTAAACTACAGATTATAATCACTCACCCATTGGGGACATCAACAAACTACAGATGAATCATCACATGTAGACATAAAATCAAATAAATGAACACACAACAAATGAAAAAAAGTAGCTATAGAGAGGTCGTTATCCGATCTTCCGCCCCAAAATCATGGTCGTATGTCATATCTGTCAGGAAGTCATTATTGGGATGGGTTGTATCCACCAGGGACTACTGTATGCAGTATCTTCATTTATACATTCTATACATTAACACCAAATTGTTAAAACTAAAACAGTAAAGCTATACATTAACACCAAATTGTTAAAACTAAAACAGTAAAGCTATACATTAACACCAAATTATTAAAACTAAAACAGCAAAGCTATACATTAACACCAAATTGTTAAAACTAAAACAGCAAAGCTATACATTAACACCAAATTATTAAAACTAAAACAGCAAAGCTATGCATTAACACCAAATTATTAAAACTAAAACAACAAAGCTATACATTAACATCAAATTGTTAAAACTAAAACAGCAAAGGTATACATTAACATCAAATTGTTAAAACTAAAACAGCAAAGGTATACATTAACACCAAATTATTAAAACTAAAACAGTAAAGCTATACATTAATTCCAAATTGTTAAAAC